TCATATATTTTTCCAAGCTAATGAGATAACAAAAGACAATTGCATCCACTATAGGAGAATATGTCTCCTCATAGTCAATGTCAATTCTTTACGAAAACTTTTGTATTAAAAGTTTTGCTTTATATCTTATAATCTCATCTTTCTTATTTCATTTTCTCATAAATACATATTTGTATCCCACTAGCTTAACATCTTCGGGTGTTTTAGCTATGGGTTCAAAAAACTACTCTTTTATAAGATAACATAATTTCGCCTAGATTACTCTTTTCATTTAGGCCAATCATCTTTATGTCGATATTCTTCAATAATTTAGGCTCGGGATCCTTATTTTCATCCATAATATCAATTGCAATATTATATACAAAAGTCTTATCAATAGATATTTCTTTTCAATCCTATTTTCTCCTCGCATTGATATAATTTATCAAAATCTCTTGATTTTTCTCAAGTATTTGGACTTCTTCGGAAGCCTATGATCGAAATATATTGGACCATTTTGTAAATATTTTCATCTTGTCTTTTTCTTTTAGGGATTTTTATCTTTAGAACCGATCGGTCTTCTACGCTTCGGGCGTGCTTTAAATTCGTTAGCTATAATATTAATAGATTATCCTTCAGGACATTAATTATAATAGGAGCATTCTCGGCGGGGACATGCATTTTAGTTACTCATTTAATATCCGAGAATGCATTTGGCGAGTTGGTTTCAATATTTTGTACATGAATTATCTTTTGAACTTCTAGTTCACATTATCTTCTACAAGAATCAAGGTGATATAAGATAGAGTACTCTAATCTTTTTTTCAACATTTTCAATCGCTTATTTTGCTTATCCTCTCCCCCTAATGTTGAAAAAACTATTTCATCAAAATGACGAGTTGATAAATCGAGCTTTAAAAATTTTCTCTTGTTCATGAATCAAGAGATTAAATTATCGAAGAGGATTCATATATTTTCAATCTCTTTTAAGTGCTCATTTTATTTCATTATAGAGGAGCACTAAGGATATATATTGCAATGCCAAAAATTCTTAAATAAGAAATAATTGGCTTATGACCATAAATCAATTAAAGAGGAGAGAATTTCGATAACTTATGGGTCATATGCGAATAAGTGTTATTGCATGTAAGATTGTATGTCCTCAAACATAAACAGAGAGTTTTATTTTTAAATAACGGTTTAGCTATCAATTCGAGCCTTTTGACAAATGATTTTGCTAAACCTTTTTTAGTATGAACATGAGCAACAACATGTTCAACCTTTATTTTAATAGCCAATCAATAATAATTTAATGCTTGAGAAATAAATTCATCGAGCATTATCAAGGTGACTTGTTTTAATGGCATAATTTGAAAATTATGCTCAAAATCAAATTATTTGCTAGCAATCTCGAAAACGTCGGGTTTCGAGTAGATAATAAGCATATATGTGACCATCTTGTGGATGCATTTATCAAAATTATAAAATATTTAAATGGTCCACATGGTGGATGAATTGATCCACATATATCACCTTGAATACATTCTAAAATACTGAAGATTCAATCTCAATTTTACTTGATGATGGCTTAATCATCAATTTTCCTTGGCAACATGCAACACATGAAAGTTCATTAAATTGAAGAATCTTCGGCTCTTCGATAGATATCCATATGAATTTTTAATAATTTTTCGCATCATGAAAGACCCAAGATAGCACAACTGGTCATGTCATATAATAAAAGTATTTGAATTAGTAAACTTCGGTTTACTATAATATTTGTTTTAATCATTTCAATGTCCGTAATAAATACTAGAAGAGAAAACGGATAAATTTTTTGATAGATATTTTCTACCCGATATAATGATTATAACATATAAGTATTCACATTTGCTATCTTGATATGATATCAAATCGGATGAGTATCTTTGAAACTTAACAAATTTCTATAAGACTTTGAAGAGAATAGTACATCATTCATAATAAATTTATCCTTTCGGATAATAATATATTTGCTCTTCTAGAGCCTTTAAATTAGTCACTTCAAGTAATAATATATCGACTCTTCTAGAGTCTTTAAACATTTTCTCTTCAAGTAATAATTTATTCACTCTTCTAGAGTTTCAAAAATTTATCTCTTCAAGTCATGATATAATCACTCATCTAGAGCTTTCAAAATCTATCTCTTTAGATAATAATATAGTCGCTCTTCTAGAGCTTTCTATTAGATTGATATTATCATATATAATATTAAAATAAAATAAATGATCAAATAAATCAATAGAAAATAAATAAATCAATATATTCCTTATAAACACAAACAAATAAATAAATAGTAAAATAAATTTGTAACCATTAATATACAACATAAATTATAAGAAATATAAAAAATTTTATTTATAAATAGAAAAACTAACAAATAATTAATTTCAATTAATATTACTTTGATATATAAAATTAGCCTCTATATATATATATATATATATATATATTTCAACGAGCTTTGACAAGGCTTGATGAGGTGCTTTGGTGTACGACAGTGTACACGACTAATGTCCATTCATACCATATTTATAACATTCATCTTCGGAATATTGACTTTATCTATTTTCATTCTTTTCTTTTTCTTTTTCATAGTTATCCACTTCGATGGTAAGATGTAATATTATAGTCATCACAATTATAATGATAATTATTTTGACAACATCCATGGCTATGACTACATCTTCATCCATGTCTAAAATTATTATAAATTGTCACATTCACTTCGGGGAATGGAATAGATCCAATTGGATGAGATTTATTCTTTTTCATCAATAGCTTTTCATTTTATTTAGCCATGAGCAAATATGAAATTGATTCATAATATTTCTTAAACTCTTTTTCTTGATATGCTATTGCGAAGCATATTCGAGGCATGAAAAGTAGATGATCTTGATATGCTACTTGCAGGAGCATATTCGAGGCATGAAAAGTAGATGATATTAACTTAGCATCAAGCACTCATGATCAATAATTCTTGCCCAAAATGTCAAGGGTCACAAAATCAAGTTTTGTGATGGTTGATAAGATATCATTAAAATTGTATAATGCAAAGTATAATTATAATGTTAGGAAATAAAGATAAAATATAATAATAAAATTTAAATAAAAATAAATATAATAATAAAATTTGAACTTTTCAAATAATATATATTAAATTATTGCATTCTATATATTAAATTATTAAAATTTTTCAAATATATATTCTATGTATAATTAAATTTAAAATACATAATAAATTAGATACATACCTCTTAATGATCTAAATAATAATTTAGATCTTTTGGTAGAGCACTTGTGTAGAAGAAATCCAATTGTTGAAACAATTGATTAAGTATTTTGGTAGATACATACCTCATAGTCTATTATCTCGATTGGTTAGAGCTTCGTGCGATAACGTGTTATAAAATAAATAGAAATGATAGGAGAATTAAAGAAAAGGATGACAAGAAATTGAAATTACTATAATGTAAATATGAGTGATAAGAACTTCAAAGTTTCTCTTATTCTCTCTAGGAAACTTGTACATCAACAAATGAACAATCAAGCCTATTTATAGGCCTCAAAATTGAGATGGGAATTGGAAGGGACTATGAATCATTAAAAGTACATCAATTGCATCACCCTTTTAATTTTTCATATTGAATGGTGAATTGAATCACATTAAGGATTATGAGTAGTGGAGATATGAAAAGTGGATGAACATGATGATGGACATTCATTATTTCATAACAAAATTTTAATATTTATTTGTATAAAAAGTTTTTTGGGTAATCATATTAGTTTTATGTTTCCGATCGAATAATATAATTAGTTTGAAACTTTTGGCATGAGATAATTTGGAAATAAAGAAAAAAAACCTTCTCGTTAATACCAATCGGAGGTTAGGCCTGTTTGAAACTCGAGAAATTTAATGTTGGTATGTTAAATAATTTATCTGGACAATATATTTATTATAAATTTATAATCCTCTTAAAACGGTAGCAATATGTAAGTGTAATTAATAATGAATCACCTGTTGTTTCCCAAAAAGATAAACTGTCAATTATTAACCACTCCATTACTTACCAGTGCCCAATAGCAACCAAAAAAATAAAAAATAAAAAATCTAAAGTTTCTTGTGTCTGAATCATTGTGATTGGAAGAGACAGAGCGTCTGTGCTGTGAAGTATTGCTATCGGATGGCATCACTTTCACAGTTTCACTCACTCTCTCCTTAGTCTAAACCCCCTCAGATTCCTATTCCATTCTCAAAGTTTAGGTCTTTCTCTGTTCCCTCTTTTTATTTCTTGACCCATAGAAAACATCACTTTAAGTGATACTTTTCAACAAGACCCAAAACAGTGTCTTTGTTAAATCTTGAAAAAAACAAAAAGCGATCTTTAGCTCCAAAGATCCAGGATCCATGTACTATTTTGCGGTAATTTCATGACCAATTTCGTTTCAGTTACTTTCAAGCATTTTGGGCATCAATCTCCTTCCTTTGAGGGTATGTACTTACTAGTGTTTCTGGTGTTTCGGTTTGTTTGGTCAAAGATTTGTTTTTTGGAGCTCATTGCAGATCACTGACTTGTAAAACTGCATTTTAGGGTTTGGTTTTACCTATTTATGACATTGTCTAAGATTGCAAGAGAAAGTTGAATTGCTTTGCTTAAAGGAGTAGTTATATATGTACTTTGGTGTTTGCAACATACGAGACATGTTTTAAATTTTGGTAAATCCAAGATTTGTAGTTTGGCCATGTGTATTCAGTAAAGGGTTCTATTTTTTGGGTTCCAGACAGTTGTTAAGTTATCGAAGAGAATGTATGAACGAGAACAACTTGATCGGCTTTGAAACTTTGTATTTATGGAGATTAGTAGTAAGGATAATGTGAGTTTAAGTGGATTTGGATGATCTTTTGGCTGTAATTTTAGTACTGATTTGATATTGTAAGGAGGTGGATCTCAAGGTTAGTGATATCTGTTGGATTAGTTTGGATGGCATCTATAAGGAGAACATTGTCTCCTGTGCCTAGAGCTGGAACCTTACTAAATGGGGAAGCCTGTCAAGTGGCTTCTCCTTTGTCCAAGTCCTCGTCATATTCTCAGAGCTACCCAACATCTGGTGGATTGCTATCTTCAATTTTTGGTTTATCAGACTCTCAAGCTTTTGTTTTTGGTGCTTTTTCACCAAGATCTTCTAGACCATTGGAGAGGTCAAAACCCAAGGGGCAAGTTTGGAAGAGGGGCCTTTTCCATTTCTTGGTTTGTTTTGTGATTGGGGTTTTTATTGGACTAACCCCGATTGTTTTGATGGATTTATCAATGAATCCTATGTCAAAGCAGCATCCATTTTCGTTTGAGGTGGTATCTAATGTTGGGACTTTTAATAATCATAAAGATATGACGGGAACTATGACATCAACAGCAGAAAGTAGAGGACTTGAGAATAATACAACCCTGGAGACTGGAGTAAAGGAACAGGAGTCAGGGGATGGGATTACTAATGGTACCCCTATTAGCCTATCGCTCTCTGAAGATGTGGATTTGGTGTCTCGGAAGCTTTTGATCATTGTGACCCCAACTCATGCTCGACCACTTCAAGCCTATTATCTGAGTCGTTTGGCACACACATTAAAACTGGTTCAACCTCCACTTTTATGGATAGTTGTGGAAATGACATCCCAATCTGAACAAACAGCTGACATCCTGAGGAGGACTGGGGTTATGTATAGGCATCTTGTTTGCAAGAAAAATCGAACTGATATAAAAGACAGAAGTGTCCACCAAAGGAATGTGGCGTTGTCTCACATTGAAATCCACCGCCTTGATGGAATAATCCACTTTGCAGATGATGATTACACTTACTCTGCAGATCTTTTTGAGCAAATGAGGCAGATCAGGTAACTATTAGTGTATGCAGACTATGCACCCCATTCTCCTAGCACCACTCTTTATTGGTTTCCCCTTTGGAATCTACTATATTTTTTATTGTCAGGAACAGATTTGCATTATGTGACTTTGCACTTACTGGGAAAATATTGCACAAGCTTTACAGTTCTCGGTATATTTGAAATTATGTATTCACTTTCTAGTTTGTCCGTTCTCTAATGAAATAAGATAGTTCCATTGGAATTGCATCAGCAGATTGTTGACTTCTATGTATCATAATATAATAGTTGAGGGATGTTTTAGTGATCTATGGAAATGGAGATATTCCTTTTTTTTTTTTTTTTTTTTTTTTGCGTTAGACTGAGTTCATGCTGTAGTTTATGGTGTTTAGCTGGATAGAAAAGTCAAGGGATGCAAAAAATTGTTGGGTACAAACTCCAGATTCCACACAGGGAGAAAAGATTTTTTTTTTTTTTGGGTTTCGTATAATTACTGTCCATCTGCAAATTTTGTGAGATTGTTGAAACGTATTAGGTTATGTTTTCTCATAAGTGATCAGATACTCTGCATTCATTTCTTTCCAGCTCTCCGTTGTTTACTCATATCATCTGTTTATTTATTCTTGGTTTTATACCAGTTCAATGATAGATGGATCACCCCTTTAAAGATATGGATTTTATGACATAAGTATCTGGTTCTCTACCTATTGTTGTGAGAGCGCATGCCTTTTTCAATTGCAGGCGGTTTGGGACATGGACAGTTGCCAAATTAACAGTACACAAAAACAAAGATTTTGTAGAGGGCCCCATTTGTAATGGACCTCAAGTTATTGGATGGCATGTGAATGACTCAAGTAGGAGATTTCGGAGATTCCATGCTGACATGTCGGGGTTTGCCTTCAATAGTACCATCATTTGGGATCCAAAACGATGGCACCGCCCTACACCTGAACCTGTTAGGCAGCTTGACACAGTCAGGGATGGCTTCCAGGTTAGTACCTCTTGTTTTCATCTTATCCATTGAGTACACCATGTTGCAATCTGTTCGCTGTTGCTCTGTTGCACTAAAAATGAACAATCTGCATATTTTCTGGATTTCCTTTTGCACTATTACAGATAGGGAAATGATGAAATATAATGAAAGAATGAACCTTGTTTTTGACAAATCTGTCGCTATCAGGGTTTATTACTTTTAACTGGGTGACAGCGATACAGACGGAAACTTTGCCCTCCATAAAGATAATTAATCTCTCTTTCTTCCATCCTTAGTCTTTTTTTCATTTTTTTTTTCAAAAACAGGACACATTCTCAATCCAACAATTTCGCTACTGATACTGGGCTCTGGCTTCAATAATTAACCTCACTTTTCTACTTCTGCAGGTTAGCAAATTTATTGAGCAAGTTGTGGAAGATGAAAGCCAAATGGAAGGCTTATTGGAGGACTGCTCAAGAGTCATGGTCTGGCATCTACAGCTTCAATCATCTAATTTCTTCTATCCTACTAAATGGTTCCTTGACAGTAATCTGGATGTCATTACCCAGACTGCGTGAAATTCTTGCTTTAAAACGAGTCCATTTGGACAATGAAGGTAGCTAAGTTTCCGAGATGTTTGTCTTTAATTCACCTGCTCTTCCCAATTAGTTAGATTCTTTTTTATTTGAAACGTATGAGATGTAACTCGTAGGCCTCATGAAACTAACTGATTCTCTTTACAATTAGACTCATCATTTCACATTCTAAGGAGTATGGCACGTCCGACTGGTTGACAAGCCTCAGTTGGAATGCGTCTCCTGCTTACTAATAGCCTACAGGGAGCAGTTCTTTGACCTTGACTTGTGCCATGTGACATTTCAAGTCCTATGCAAATTATGATAGAACGTGTTTCCTCTCATGAGATGCACAAACATCTTACCTTAGAAACAGAATGTTCATGTAACGTTTGAGCAAGCGCATTACGCCTTTTTGATTTATTTCTCGCTCTTTCTTCTATATTTCTCCCGCTAACCTTTTGTGTTGATTATTTACAGTGTAGGAGGTATGCATCCAGAATCATAGATCTTCCTGCTCATGGGTGAAACCAGTCATTTGGACAGATTGGTGCTTGGAATGGCCTTGGATATCGCTGGCCCATATATTACTTTCTTGACGCATCAGAGCATATGCAGCACTGTGGAAACATTGTTTATGTACAGTCATATCATTCGTCCGTTTCCTGTGTTGCTGCTCTTTCCAAACAAATTGGCTAAATTTTTTATTAGTTAGGGAAAGGATGGTTAAATTTGTAAACCATCCTCAAGTTCAAGCATAGCTCCAACATTTTTTATATTTTTTAACGTTCAAGGTACCCTGCGACCTGCGGGCTGCGTGTAAAACTCAAAGCAATTTTGGAAAATCTCTTTGGTACTTGCCAGTGTCTATTCAATAGAATAGGCTTCTCCTAAGAAATCTTTTTCTATTTACGCTGTGACATGCCATTGATGCAAAGAGCTTCTGCATTCCTGCCTTGACTGCCATTTAAAAGAGTGATCATGTTCTTTTTTGAGAATGGCGAACCTGTAAATTATGTAAACAAAAAATTTATGGGCTATGGCAATCTTTTATTCATTCCTACTCGGAGGAGCTATGGAAGCAACTTCAGAAAATGTATCTGAAAGAAAAAGAAAAAAAAGAAATTAGACTAAGTGACCCCTCTATCCAATACATTTAATTATATAATTTAATAGAACAAGAAATGGGCAAGCCGTCGATATGTCCGAGTGGTTAAGGAGACAGACTCGAAATCTGTTGGGCTTTGCCTGCGCAGGTTCGAATCCTGCTGTCGACGCTCCTTTTCTTTTTCTAGCTGATTTGGACTACATGTCGTATGAAGGTCCTGATAATTTTGCTTCTCGCAAGCTATTCCAAGGACATGTTCCTTTCTTTGTCTCTAAAAAGGATATATCCCCCAACAATATTGGCACAACACAAGTTTTATTTATTAAATTTCCCTCTTAATTACACTACAACTATATATGCATCCTTCTTCCTTTTTTTGGGTTTGAAAGAAATATTGTAGAACAGCATAAAAGGTGCTAATTTTCACTCCACGTATCTTCTACTTTATTATTACAAAAAAGAATGAGTGCCACTCACTTCATTCCATCTCTTCTTCCTGTCATGTATAAACTTTCTCCACTATTCCTAGCTATCAAGCTTTGCCCTCATTCACATAATATTACTACTGATGGCGCCTAACTTGGACCTAATCCTCCTTACATTCCTCTATGGCTGTTTCATTGCTTGTGTAGTACTAGCTGTTGCCTTTGCCATCTTGAACTCCTTATTACTTGCTTTCTCCCTCACGCTCTTCTCTATTGCTATACTTGATTTTCACGATGCGCTTTCTTTTCTTTCTCGGTTCTTTCTGCGACTGGAGGAAAATCTTGATCTGGGGTTTGCTCTACTTGTCTGTATGATCATGTATCATGCCATTGGTGTCCTGTTGGCTTCCAAACCTCTATTTGAACGCCTAGTTTCTGAATTCAAAGTGAAGACTCGACGTGTTTTGAGCCTTATAGAAGCTTTAGATAGCTCTTTTTGAGACTTGAAGAATGTTGTATGATGATCTTCGAATCATTCACATTTTTTGAATTGTTGGGTACTGCGCTGAAGTAATTGGGCAGGCGCGATGGAGAATGATGGGTAGCTTGTTGATTGTGTCGTTATCAGTCTGTGTATTATCTTAATTCCATGCCTACAGGAATTGCCTTCATTCATGTTGTACATAATGAGACAAGTTTTCTACTGAAAAATAACAAAATTCGAATCATATGTGATTTTCGATTTTCTTGTTCAACACAATAATAATGAAATCCTGACATATACTATATGTGTTTAAGGTTGTTGATGAATTGTCGAAGTTAAATTAGATAGTTTTTCTTTTCTTACTTTTTTGGTAATCATATTTAAGATTTTTTTTTTTTTTGAAAATAATATTTTTTAGCTTTTCTTTTTCTTAAGAGAAAATTGACAATAAAAAATATCATCGGGTAGGTTAGTTTATGTGTCAATCAAAACTAAATTTAATTTTTTAATAATTTTAAAAATACTCTTTATGAAGACTTGATGCATTATTTAGTAAAATTTATTAAGTTTTTTTTTTTTTTTAAATATTATTCTAAAATTTAAACCTATGAAGTTAAAAAAGAAAACTCCTTTACCATGACCAACCAAGTTTAGTTATATTATTATACTATATATTAAAGGAAAATCATTTTTCATTATAACAATGAATGATGCTAATCACTGTTCATTGCTATAGTGGTTGGTTTTTTTTCTTGGCTAGCATTGGCCTTCTTCTCTTTTATTCCACTTTACTTGTTCATTTGAACAAGTAAACGACTTGGCTTTTTTTTTCTTTCTAAACACTCGAACATTTTTTTTAAATTTCCGTCGGTTCATCGTTCGGATGAACGAGTACACGGTAGCTTTTTTTTCTCCTAAAAATTAAACTTTTTTTTTAATTTTTATTTTTTAATAATGTTGGGTGTTAAAATTTAAAGGAACCAACAATTAATTAGGTGTTAAAATTTTAAAGAAACCAATAATTTATTTTCTTTATTATTTATTTCTAAAATTTAAAAACACAAATAAGAAATAGTTCAATATAAAATTTTTGATTAAAAAATTATAATTAGTTTTTACCATAAAACAGATTATTAAATTAAAATAATTTTTCTAAATGATTTTATATATTTTATCTAGCCCGCGAGTGTAGCGCGAGTCAAAAATGTTTTTGATTTAATATTATTTGTTAATAATTTTTTTTAATATATGAATTTTGAAATGAAATTTTAGAACATCGAGTGTTAATTTTTTAAATATATCATTATAATTTATACGGTAATTTTTTTTTACTTTTTAAATGAAAATTTTTTATTGGTTATTTTTATTATATAAAATTTATTACTTTAATTTGTCATTTTTTAAGATTCTCATCCATTTAATTTCAAATTACATTAAAAATTTTCAATTTTTTTTAATCTTTAATTTTATATATTTTTATACATTCATATTATAAAATAAATTATTGAACTAAAATAATCTTTCTAAATGATTTTATATATTTTATCTTACTCGCAACGTAGCGTGGGCAAAAATCTAATATAAATATAAATAAAGTGCAACATGAATTAAGCTAATTAGGTACGTAGATTTCAGATATTTTGATTCAACTTCAATCGGTTTGTTGTAAAATGATCGAAACCTATTATAAATAAATTGCCAAAAAGAGAGCGTCTTCCCATAAAAATGACGAAAATTCCCCTTCTTCATGAAAATAATTCCTTTTATAGAATTCATATTTATATGATTTTCTTTTTGTACAAAAAAGAAAAGTTAGGTAGGTTATTGATACTCTTGGATATAAAATATTATACTCGCATTACACCTTTTTTTTTTTAAAAAAAAAATTTGAAAACAACTTCAACCACGCCTGTATCAGAGCTGAAGTTTAGAATATTTTTGAAAGTAGTACAATCATGCATAGATGCATAGAAATGCCTTCAACTGCAGGTTGGACGAGATTCGAATTCTCTGCTTCGTGGATGAACAAGTAGACAAAAATGCCTTTCCTTTTTTTTTTACCTACATCAATATGCCTATCAGTATCAAATCTTTCATTTCTTTGGCATCGATTATATATTCTTTTCTATATATTCTCTCTATATATAAAAAATGAGTGTATGATTTAACTATCTACGAGTATCAAATTTAAATTTATCATAATATTGGTTTACATTGGGTTTAATGACAAATTTTACTTTCATTCTATTGAGATTTGACGAGTTTTGGATTCTTAATATCAAATCGCGTAAATTTAATCTTAAAGTATTAAATATTAGACAAATATGATCCAAATTGTTTAATCTCTGTTATGTGTAACGGTCAACCAAATAGACGATTACTTAGAATGTCAAAATGACGTTGTTTTGACATTCCGTTAATAATTATGTTGTTTTAAAATATTTTTAACCTCCTAATCATGAATTTTTTAAGACTTTTTTCTTAAAAAATATTATAAACAGATTTATAAATTATATATAAAAAATTTTATAAATATTTTTAACTCCCCTCATTTTGAAATTTTTTAATAAAATATTATAAAAATTTTATAAAAACATTTTTTATCATTTATAAAATTAAGGGGGTCAACCTTAATTATACTCATTTTAATTTATAAATTTTTTTTAAGGCTTGAAATAGAGTATTGTTAATTATATTTTTTTACGAGTCACATTTTATAAAAAAAGTTTTTTTTTAAAAAAAAAACTCAAAATTAGGAGTTTAAAAATATTTATAATATTTTATAAAAAAAAAGTTCAAGATTAAAAGGGTTAAAAATAGTTTTAATTTTTTTGAAAAAAAAATAATTAACAACGAAACGCCAAAGTGACATCGTTTTGGCATTTCAAGTAATGGTCAACTCGATTGACAATTATAATTAACTACTACATATAATGGAGATTGGGTGATTTGAATAACATTTTTCCAATCTTCAATATTTTAGAATTCAAATTAAACAATTTGGTATTATAGATGCGAAATTGATAAATCATAATTGAATAGTGACAAAATTTGTCATTAGACCATTTACATTGGGTCAACGAATTATGATAATAAAATAAGCAATCAAAATATTTTGTAGACGGGGAAACCAAATCGAATTATTTGGAAGTCTTGCTTGTAATTTGTCCTAACTACAAAATCTTCCCACCATCGACAACTAATGACTTGGTTCGTATAAATTAGGAATAGACTGATAAAGTCCGTATTTTTGTATACATTATGAGATATTACAATTGTATTTATATAGGTACAATCTGTAGTGATATAAGCATGGGTTTGTTATATCCGAGTGGTTTAGGTAAGGATAAGAGCTAAAATAAAGGATGGTAACTCTTATCCTTATCACCTTCTTGCAAGTTGTGCTAGGAGTGGAACAATTCTCAACTTGGATTTGAACTTATGGAATAGAGCTTTGGATAATGGCTTAGTTAGGACATCCGTAATCTAATCATTAGTAGACAAATAACAAACTTGGAGTGGCCCTTGTCCGAATTTATCTCTCACAAAATGGAAATCAATGTCAAGGTGTTTGGATTGTGAGTGAAAAATGAGAGTTGTAGTGAGATAAGTGGTCGAGACATTATCGTACTAGATTTTGGATGAAGTAGGACACATCATTTTAATTTCCCGTATGAGGGACTCTATCCAGATCCATCTCGCATAGGTTGTCGCCAAGGCTCGATATTCGGTTTTAATAGATAAACGAGTAATGATTCATTGTTTAATAGCCGCTAAAAGATCGAGTTTTATCAAGATAGATGGAAAATCCAAACATGCTTTTGCGATCATCTATATCATCACTCCAATCAGCATCTCGTGTAAGCATTGATTGAGATTGGGTATGATTTTTGGATAAATAATCTATGGTCCTTAGTCGTCTAAAGGTAACAGAGGATTCTTTTAACGACGACCTAATGGGTTTCGGTGGGAGCATGCATATATTGAGCCACCTTATTGACAAAGTATGTTAAATCGAGTCTAGTAATACCCGGATATTGTAGCCCACCTACAATGCTTCGTAAAGGAATGAGTCTAAAAATGCCTTGCCCAACTTGTTGCTTAGTTTCATGTTGGAGCATGGAGGTGTACCGAGTCCCTTAACTTCGATGCATGTTAGCTCGCAACATAAGTTCGGTAGCATACTTGTGTTGAGTAAGGAAGAGACCACTCGACTGTTAATGTGCTTCTATCCCAAGTAATTCAACGACCCTAGCCAACTTACATACATGATTCGATCTCATTCCGTCAATAAAGCTCGTTGGTTGTGTCATGTAAACATCTTCTTCCAAGTGGTCCATGAAGGAAGGTATTTGACACGGCCGGTTGTTCTAATGCCTAGCCAACCGAGAGAGCAAGGGAGAGGACCATTCGGAGAGCCGTTGGTTTGATCATAGGGTTGTAGGTGTCATTGAAGTCTATAACGGGACGTTGGTGGAAGCCTTTCACTACCAAACATGCCTTATATTGATCAAGGGTACCATCGGACTTGGTTTTAACCTTATACACCCATTTGTTACTAATTATATTATATGAAGGATGACAAGGAATAAGATCTCATGTATCATTTTTAAGTAAGCCCCGCATTTCAGCGAGTCATGACGACTTATAAATATGGTTGTGGATCGAGCTCGAGAGCATGTTTGAGGGTCAAAAGGAAAGATAGTGATTGAAAAGGTTCGTGGCTTTAGGTGGTCGGTCTTGGCATGAGTAAGCATTCTATGTGAGGGAGGTAGGTTTGGGTTGCTTATTAGAGTACTGGAAGTATTGGTCATTTGGTAATGGCCGAGGTCACGAGCGAAGGTAACAAAGTTGTGATCGGGTGATTGGTGTGCTTGGAGGTAGTTACTCCGTGGTTTATATGAGTGGTGAAGGCTCTTGGTTTTGTTCTGGACGTGGATGCATGGATTATGAAGAATTTATGGTTGGTGTGTTTACTAGAGAGGAAAGGGAAGTTTTGTTTTGGTTTTCGAGATGCGTTTTTATGGTTAAAGTAGAGGACCGTGGAGCATGTAGGCTTGCTATCAAAGGGTGTAGTTGCATGTTTGTTGGAGAGGGAAGGATTTGTGGGAAGTAGGGTTCGTAATTGATGACTCGTGAGGTGGATATGTTTATTTGCATGGGTTTTATAGGGCATTGTGCATTGTGGTTTTTGGAAGGAGCTTGTACGTTGGACACTAAAGGTATGTGTGTTTGTGGCAAGATGATATTCGGTGAAGGTAATGGGATAAAGGTTGTTTCGGTGAATTAGGTAGTATCGGTGAATTTTGATTTGGCAGCAGCAAAGGAAAAAACATATTTATCAAAATAAGACATGGCGTGAGATATAAAATTTTTTATCGGATAAATCATAACACGGGTAATCTTTATAAGTTTTGTTATATCCCAAAAAATACAAGCAAATGATCTAGGTGATAATCTGTGACTAGCATATGGTTTTAAACACGGGTAACATAAGCAACCAAAACTTTTTTAACTCATCATAGGGAGGACTCGTTAACAAAAGGGATGGAATAAGGGGACCGGTTCTACAATTTTGGTGTGGGAAGACGCATTGGTTCGAATCTCGGTTTTGGATCACTTTTGATCAATTGTGAGAATTAACCGAATTGTGCTAATTTATCTTAAAATATTCGATTGTTGCTTTGTAGTGGTTTAAACTATGTTTTCGGATTGTTTTTATGATATTAACGTCAAATTGCTCACGTGTTAATAACTTTAAATCATGCTAGTTTGAACCTCGTTGTATGGGCCTTTTTATTATCAAATAATGATCAATTTTGAAATTGCTATCGATCCGCATAATAATGCGATTCTTGAGTTAACTCGGTTCAAATCTCATTTTAGGATGGTTTTCGACCATAACATTGGGTAATTAATATTGTGTTAATTTGTCTTAAGAAAAAATATGATTTTTGAGCCTCGTGGATCCAAGTCTTGTTTTGGATTACTCGTCGCACATTATGAGAATTAATTTGTTGTTTTGTTGATTTTGCCTAAAAATCATGATATTCGAGGTCATGTGGATATGATCCCGTTTTCAATTCATTTTTTTCAATTTTAACGATTTTGTTGATTTTACCCGAAAATCATAATTTTTTGAAGTCTTGTCGGTCTTAATCTTTGTTTTTGGATCACTTTTGTTAACTTTAATGATTTTGTCAATTTTACCAATTTTACTTTATTTTTATATATAACCTTTGCCAATTTTGCCGATTTGTCTTTTTTCCTATTCGTCTATTTTGCCTAATTACTTATTTATCGATTTTACTAATTTACCTATCTTGTCAATTTGCTTATCTTGTCAATTTGCCTATTTTGCCTAGTTGTCTATTTTTGCCTAATTGCAAATTTTTGCTAATTAGTTGATTTTTGTCAATTTGCCAAATTGCCTAATTGTATATTTGCCTATTTTGCCTGTTTGTCCATTTTTGTCAATTTGCATATTTTGCCTCATTGTCTATTTTACTAATTTGTCTATTTTGCTTATTTTATCTAATATATTTGTCAATTTGTCAATTTTGCTAATTTGTCAATTTTTGTCAATTTTGCTGATTTTGCCTTATTATCGATTTTGTCGATTCTGCCTATTTTGCCGATCTTGCTAATTTGTTGATTTTTGTCTATTTTACTAATTTTTGCCTAATTAATATTTTTTTTGTTGTTTGCCTATTTTTGCCTAATTGCCTATTTGTGGATTTTGCCAATTTGCCATTATTTGTTTGCTTATTTGCCAATTTTTTTTTTTCACACATGCCATTTAAGTCTGCATTAGTAGGATGTCCTCGCGTTCATCATTTTTAACTATTCATTACGGAGTGACAACAAAGTGTTTGACCAACTAAGTTTCAAATCACTCGAACAGCGGGCAAATGCTTGAAAAATAGTGTTGGAATATTTTTTAATAAAATATTAAAATATTTATTATTAAAAAATTATTAATTAATAATATATTATATGTATGGTATATTTTGAAAAAACACGTGCAAAAGCGTTATTGAAACTGTTTCATAACAGTTTCAATAGGTACCATTCAATGGTTTTTAATAGTTTTATTTATTTTTTATTCAATTACAAACGATCATCTTATATTTATTTTCAAACGTTTTTCTTTTACCTTTACCGTTTCAAGCATTTATATAGTCAATTAATTTAGTTGTCCAACAACGGGACAATTTTTACCACTATACATGTATGAGTTTGTTATTTGACAAGGTACCTTGGAAGCTCTAAAGAAAAAACAGATATCATGCATGCTTTTATATATTATTTTCTGGTCTCTACTAAAAGAAGCCATTTTTTTTATTTATATATATTTGGGTAAGAGATGGTACTATTTTATTTAGAGTTTCAAGTTTTACGAGTAGTGCAAACTTGTTAAAACACGATAAGATGACCGAGCTTGTTGTATCCCTAAGATGGCGTGCAATATTTTTTTTATCCGTTGCATTAGATAAATTCTGCAGATGACGCGTATCGTCTCAAGAAAACAACCTAGCAGTGGTTCCTCTACAAACTCTTCGAGCTAAAATCGATTATTGTTCTTATACAGTTAGAACTATTTATGGGGTATTAGGTATAAAAATTTGGATATTTGTAGACGAGAAATAGTAAACCCTTACTTGACTTGTCTTTACATTCTATTCATTGATAGAACAAAAAATGACAAATTCTTTCATTCTTTTTTGTTCTTTTTGCGCTATTACTCACTACATCAAAAAATTTCCATTAATGAAAGATGTAAATCCATTGGAAAAATCAAAAATACGTATGTCGGATGAAATGGTGGTTGTTGCTATCTGCTCCAATAACGAATCGTTGGTTTAACTGAATAACTAAATGAATAACTAAATAAAATAGATAGACCCTTCTCTTCGTCTCAGGTCGATGTATCTTCTCAATTGGAAGATCCCCTATATGGATAATATACACATTCCGAGTTGACCGGGTCTAATTCTAATTCTTTTGTTCCGAAGCAAAGATATCCATGGGGCGGTTCGTCCTATTCGGATATTCACGATATGGAAGTAAATATTCTCGCATTTATTACTACTGCACTGTTCATTCTAGTCCCTACTGCTTTTTTACTTATAATATATGTAAAAACTGTTAGTCAAAGCGATTAATTTGAATGAAACTTGACTTCTTAGTTCTTATCAATATCAAGAATTAACGAAATAAAATGAAAAGAATTCCAATTTTGCGTTTTTTGTGGCTCAAGCCAGTCATCTAAAATTATGGTAAAACCATTTTGATGGTTCGATCATCTTGATACCACGAAATATAATAATGGGACTTTAATCATTAATTTTTTTTAATGATCAAGGTAAAAAGTTCAAATTCTTTATTTATTTTAATTTACATTAAAGTTATTTATTTATTTATTTTAATTTACATTAAAGTTATTTATTTATTGTGTCAATATTTATTATTTAATTATGTTTCTTTTTGTGTGCTAGGAACAATAAATAGTTATAAACTTTCATCATTGAAAAAATCAGAAATCAAATCAATGTTTATGCAATGCAGCTTACCTTAAGCAAGATGAGATCTTACGATTTTTAATTTTTCTTTTATATAATAAACCTCTTAATCAGAATTCTAAATAATCAATCATAGAATTTTCTAATGGCCATAATACTAGGTGGTGGTCACTCCAGTTATTGATAAGCCCTCCTATCCTTAACATAGACAAGACGAGCAAAACTTCGGTTACGCGCGTCTTAACAAACAGATGCTTTCTTTTCTGTCACATTCTGATTTTGCTGCTGCCGACACAAAAACATTTACAGTCTCACCAATTTCATAATCTTTAGAACATTTTAATGGAAACAATAAACATGGTTTGCTCTCTATATCATGTTCAAAATTTATCTCTACCATTTCGAGCTACTAAGCCATGTCAAGGCTTATTCAAAACCCAGTTGAAAAAATCATTGAAGCCGCAAAGGTTTCGATCGCCAAGCTCTCGAGTTGTGCTGTCTGCTTCCAATAAGGAAACGTTGCCAGTTGAAGCTGAGAATGTGGGTTCTGTCAGTCCTGTTTATGTGCCTACACCTTCTAATAGAGAGCTCCGAACCCCTCATAGCGGGTAAATTGATTTTATCATAAAAATACTAGTGTTGGTAATTTAGAACAGATCAGAATCACAAATAGAAATTTGGGAATTGTTTCATAATTTTGATTACCATCTCTTGTGATTTTTTTTTTTTTTGTGGAATGGTTTGTGGTTAATTAGTTGTTTGAATATTGAATTTTTGATATAATGGGAGTTCCGTTTTGAAGGGTTTTCTATTTCCATATAAAAGATCAAGTTCCTGAACGAACTTGATAGCATGAATGATATTTATTCTCTCTAGTTATTTAGCCACAATTTATTTATTTTTCAATGCTTATTATTAGCTAGGTCCATTGCTTGAATCTGCAGTTACCATTTTGATGGAACACTGCGGAAATTTTTGAGGGTTGGTACTTCAAAGTCTCAATTCCAGAGCGGAAGCAGAATTTCTGCATTATATACACTGTTGAGAACCCAGCGTTTCAAAAGAAATTGTCAGGCTTGGAGGTGGCACAGAATGGACCTAGATCAACAGGAGTTGGAGCTCAAATTCTTGGGGCTGATGACAAGTTTATCTTCCAACACTCTGAAGAATCTCAAAACTTCTGGGGAAGTAAGTGCCCCCGCCGTATAATGTTAAGCAAGCCAACTGTTTTCTCTTTCCCATGCGATATTTACTTCTTTTTGCATATCTAGAGGCAGGCCCTGCTCGTTTAATCTAATGGTACAGTGGAAGAAGTTGTGTGTTTAAAGCCTAAGTGATTGTTATTTTTATGCATAGGTAGGCATGAGCTGATGTTGGGGAATACTTTCGTGGTTCAGAAAGACAAGCAACCTCCAACTAAGGAGGTTCCTCCTCAGGTTCATCGTAAACTTGAAATTATTAGTTAGGAGTTAGTTCTTCATCATCTTACTGTAGAATCTTCAATTTTGTCGGTTAAGAATGAAATCACAAAAATTTCATTATAGAAAATCACAAAAATACTCCTGTAAATTACTGTTAAAATGAGCAGTAAGGTACTATTCAAATGAACAGTAATTCAATATTTAAAATTGCTGCTAAAATGAACAGGGAAATTATTATTCAAATAAGCAATAATTTACTGTTCATTTATCCCATCTGTTTTAGTTTTAGTTAAATTTTTTTGCATCATAACTGTATAAAACTGTTAAAATGGATAGTACAAGGGCATAGAGTGTATTTCATGCAGGATGCATTAGCTTCTTTAAACTGTTTTCGACACATACCTCCATCTGATCCTTTGATTATCTGAGATATTTTTTGTTTATGCTGTCGACTTCCAAAGCTAAAATAACGTGCTCGATAGAAATGTCTCTAAGTAGATTAGAAGTAGATGATCAGATGGGCAAAATGAATCGAAGCTATAACTTACAGTTTTCTTTTATGTTAACTTCATTGATTTGTGCAGGAGTTTAATGGAAGAGTTTTGGAAGGTTTTCAAGTCAGTCCATTTTGGCATCAAGGTTTTATACGTGATAATGGCAGGTACTGCCATTTCTATTACTCATTGCTGTACTTTAGTGCTGTAGTACTTTAGAGATTTTGTTGTGAAATTTATGAGGGATATTTCTGTCACATCTGCCAGCCGTGATTCGTATTGCCTACTTTTTATGTTGGCGAATGCTGTATTAGAAAAGAGTACACGGGTCAAATCTCCTTTAAACTTTGGTTTATTTGAAAGTCAGCTTTTTAATTTTTATTTTTAATTTTAAATATTGAATGCTATTAGACCTTTTCAAACCTAAAAACTAGATCAATGAGTATATATATATATATATAATCAAGCATCCAATCTCATGCATAATTGATGTCAGATAAAATAACAATCTTTTTATTCATACATCGGGCTTTAAATTAGCTATTTCTCGTTAACTTATGTAGCATTAACACATAGAGAATTATTTAACTCAGTTTTGCTACAAGTGTTGGGTGTTATAAAGCTTTCTAAAACTTAAAAACTAATTCGATGAGTAAAACTTTTTTTAACATTTATAACTAAACAACCAGCTCCTTTTACAACCGATATAAGATAACCTAATAAAAAATAATAATCACATAAATAGTCTTGTGACTAAAATCATTTAATAATATTTATCTTGGGCTTTTTAAAAATTTTGGAATCATTTTGGATTTTTTTAAAATTTTTAATGTTCAAAAAAAAAATTTCGATAAAATTTTTTGGAATTTTTTCAAAAAATAGAGTATATTTTTCTCGACATATATGCAAAACATCATTTTAAAATAATAATAATTGATATTTTTTTTAAGAGGAAAAGCTGATAATTAAAAAACATATAATGAATTATTTTTTTAAGAAATAAAATTTAAAAGAGGTGAAACTCGAAATAAAAAATTGATTTTTAAATGAACTAAATTGCAAAAAATTGATTTTTGTAACATAAGCCTGTTTTCCACTGTCTTATACTTGCCTTTGTTTAAGTCGGTGACAAACCGTTCTCAGTAACGGTCGTATAAACTTCAAACGTATTCTTCTCTGAGAGCTGAATAATTGAATATACTTTTTATTACCATTGATTGTTTTCACTTTTCGCTTTGTCTGAATATGGGTTTTTTGGTGTGGGGACAATTTCATTATAAATACATCAATTTAATTATAATGTTTTTTCAATTTTTATTTATTAATTATTCTGTTATCTGATGACATGTTTCTACTCTAAACTATTAAATTATGATTTTTCTTTTATTTTTTAAGAAAAATTTTTCTTATAAATTATTTTATCATTTCCTCCATTAGGACATAAAAACAATTTGAATATTTACTATATAAAAGAACAAAATGGAAAAATAATTTAGGATGAAAGTTACCTCCAAAATAAAAAGATAAAATCATAATTTAATAATTTGTAACCAATAACACGTCGTGATCGTTAGATAATAGAATAATTGATAAAAAATTGAACGAAAAATGCTCAATTGAAAGTTCTAAAAAAAAATAATATATTCAAACAAAATCTTAAAAATTATATAATCAATTAAAAAAACATGAAAAATTAATATAGTTGTAATGTAATTATTTATATTGGTACGAGTTGAACCCTTGAGCTTGAAATTGCAGGACAGATTATGTTAAAACCGTGAAAACGGCACGATGGGAGTACAGTACTCGGCCCATTTATGGATGGGGTAATGTTGGGTCTAAACAAAAGGCTACCGCAGGTTGGCTTGCTGCTTTTCCTGTATTCGAACCTCATTGGCAAATATGCATGGCGAGCGGACTTTCAACAGGCACCGACTAATTTCCTTCTTTTTATTTGGCAACTAGTAGTCTGAATTATTAGCTACATTTTGGCTTTTTAGTTCATAATTATTTTAAATCTCCATCTTTTTATTGTTTATGGTGTTAGTTAAGCTGTTAGATGTTATTTATCAGATGAAGTCAATGATCTTTGTTAAGCACTTTTACTACTTATCGATTGATAGCTCTTCCTTCACGTATCCTTTCCTTCCTTCCTGGGATACAGCAATGCTCTACAAGATCACTAAATGAATATAGTGAATATGGATCTTTAAGGTTCGATTAGTGGGCACCCCTGTTGCTCTAGGGGTCATGAGGGAACAAGCATGTGAGATCACAGCATTCATAGGCTTGAGGAATGATCAGATTATAATGTTTTCCGAAATCTTTTTTAACAGACACTATTGCAGAGAGTATTGTGATGGATGCTGATGTATTCTCAGGAATAATTCTCCGGTTTTGATTGGATTGCAGGCTGGATAGAGTGGGAGGGCGAAAGAATTGAGTTCAAAGATGCTCCTTCTTATTCAGAAAAGAACTGGGGTGGAGCCTTCCCGAGAAAATGGTTTTGGGTAAGTTTTCATTTCTTTTTTCACAAGTTGCTGTGGTCAATACACTAAAGTTTCATTGTTGCTTGTTGCATTATAGAGAACAAACGACTTACTCTAATTTTCAGCATACAAAAGATGATATTAAGTCAAGTTTCTTCGGCATTATCATTTTGATGCGCGAATTCGGGATTGCCGTGCTTTACTTGCGTAAATATACATTATAGTTAAAGAAGATGTAGTGACATTTTCTCTGGTTATTTATAAGCCTGCTTCACTCCTGGATCTGATCAGACGGCTCGCTTTTTAATGTGCTTTATGTTAGTGCAACTCATTTGTTAAGACCTCATTTCTTGTTAGGTTTTTGTTGGATAGAGCTTATTAATTTTCTAGAATAATCCCTGCGGAAACTTGCCACTGAAGCATCTAAGAGTTTTAATTGTCTGCATATGAGTAGCCTGAAAAAGGAAACAATGGCAAAGAAAAGAAATTTTAATTTTCTATATGTTCAGTTGTTGATGTTTTTCTGCAGCTTCAGTGTAATGTCTTTGAAGGTGCAAGTGGAGAAGTTGCTTTGACTGCAGCTGGTGGGTTGAGGCAATTGCCTGGACCAGCTGACTCTCAGATATATGAAAATGCTGCATTGGTACTTTTCCGTAGCAATTCCTACACTCTTGTTTTAAATTTGTTTGTCGCAAACCTATTACACTGTTTTCAATTCTCCTAGGGAAAACATTTCAACAGGTGCAGAAAGAATGAAATGCCATAATTCTAGTAAGTAATTAGTATTGCATCTGTGTCATCCTCTAGGACCTCTACATCTTGATTTCTTCAGAATGCCATTTGGTATCCTGAAATATCAGAAGAGCCAACTGTACACACATTTTTAACAAGTTGGGATCACTATTTTTTAATATACTGACATACACACACATCACGATGTTTACTGGTGCAGATTGGAGTACATTTTGATGGTACTTTCCATGAATTTGTGCCGTGGAATGGTGTTGTGAATTGGGAAATTTCTCCATGGGGTTACTGGTACTTGACTGCAGAGAATGAGACACACTTGGTAATCTCTTCGAACAATATCTTCTGCTAGTGCTAACAGGCTCACATTATACATCTTCTCAATAAAATCCCTGTAAATTATGGTACTGTTTTCTGCTTGAATGAGTGAATTTAAAATCAGGATTGAGGAAGCACTAGCTAGTCCGTGTACCACAGAAAGCCTCAAGTCTTGTTTGGAAAAATACAATGGACGTAATCAGAGGTGTAATTTTTTGCGTCTTGTCAGGTTGAATTGGAGGCAAGAGCAAAGGAATTGGGAACACCTATACTGGTTCCAACAGTGGAAGCTGGCCTTGCTCCGGCTTGTATGGATACATGTTCTGGTGTTCTGAAATTGCAAATGTGGGAACGGAGACAGGACGGAACTAGGGGAAAGGTGCATTTTATTTCTCATACTCGTATATCTGGCTTCTTATCAACTTGGGTGTAGTAACTTTCACTTTTCCAGTTCATGCTACATGATTCTAACCTCAGTAATCATTTTTCTGTGGCATTAATAATCAACTGGCTATGTGTTAAGATCCACAATGGATTCCTTAATAAGAGCCCTTGAATTTGGGGGAAGAGAAAAGAAAAGAAATAACTAGAGAGAGAATATTCGTATATTGAATTCTAATAGAAAGATCAATCTTCATACATGTCCCCTCCAATGATTTCTTCAACTATATAAATGAAACAACTAACTAACTAATGATAATATTGGAAATAACAAACTAACAACCATAGCATTAGAATATTCAGCAGGGTTTGATAGATAGGCATTCCCTTCTGATGGAGTTGTCTCCACCATACCCTCAAACTTAGATCGAACCCATGTCAAGCATTGGTCAATGTTGTGTGGGAAGGAGTGCACCATGCACATCAGAGCTTGTTTTGCAGGTGGGTCCCTAGAAGCACTGTAGTTTTCAATTGGGTGAGGAATGACCATCTGAGTGTTGCATTTGGCATCTAAAGTTCCTGACTCAAGAAGTTGCTTTTGGAAGTACAAGCACCTCTGATCAACATAAAGTCTTGCATTAAAATTGTCTAAAGCATTTATAACAACAGTTAAGTTTTCCTAAAAGGTGTCATCAAACACATTTTCTGTTTCAAGGCCGACACGATTTTGCAGCACTTCAATATTAAGATGGGGATTTATTAGCAAAGCAGTCGAAGCAGCGACAGTGGATTTGGCCTGTCCAATGTTCCAATCACGAAAGAGAAATTGCCTACTCAAGTTACTCTTCTCTATCACATCATCGTCATTTATTGTCAGCTTGCCTTGTTCACCACATGAAACACCCATCATTGCTAAATTCTTTAAGAATTCACAGCCTAGTGCACCAGACCTTACTATAAACGGATTGGCATCCTCCAGTTTCTTCTGAAGCTTGGATCCAAAAACTCCAAACATCATAATTGCAAGTGGTGATGTTGAACCTGAAACAGAAGATACATAATCCCTTACATTTATCACACAGTGATCAATAATTGTCACTCGATGTGCCTGCTTTCTTGGTACCACCAGCAGAATAGCATCAATTCTTAGTCCTGGTAGAAACCCTACAGTCAAAATGATAGCAAAATCTGAATTGGATTTGCCATCACCCCAAGAGTCATCCATCATAACCTCTTTATATTCATCAATAAGAGCATCTTTTCCCATGATTCCATTCGCACAAGACGCAATAATTGGAGTTTTGGAAACAAATTTTGCTGCTAAAAATTTGAGTCTTTCACTCAAATCAATCCACTATCAATAACATTTGCAAAGGCAAAATGTTGAGAGAAACTTATTTTGTAATGTCAATAACACTAATACCCCGTTCTTCTTTCTAATCCTCTTGCGTTTCTCCCAAAGCACTACCTTATCTAGTGTAATATCAATCTCATCATAAATCATTTTTTCATCAATTCTTTTCAGCCTCTTCTTTAATGGACCTCCATTCTCTTCCATATCACCACCATTCTCCTTCCCTTCCTTGCTCTCCACATCCTCATTCCTCAATTCAATTTCCTCTTTCCTGCCATTCCGTTTAATAACTCCTTCACTTTACTCGTTCTCCTCACCTTCTTTCTCGTTCTCAATAAATTTCACCTTTTTCTTTCCTTCAACAACCACTTCACTTTTCCCACGTAATTCATCTTCATTCTCACTAAACATTTGCAAATCTACCCTAGGCATATAAACAATATAACTAGACTTCATGAATTCGAGTGAAAGAATTGACTCACCATGATATGGATGTACTCGGTTTGTTTGTATGGTTCACTCCTAGAGAGGAACTTGAAGAGAATCCTTGTTCCCTTCCTATGCCTTTCTCCACCAAGGTTGACTTGATTATCCGCATTAAAGCTTCAAATTGAAGTTGTGTGTGTCGCGTTTGCTCATTTATTTGTTTTTTGATAGCTTCTATGTTTTCTTGAAGTTTCGCCACGGACCTTGGAGTTGCTCATCGTGTTTTCTACTTTGTTCCTCTAAAGCTCAAATCCTATTATTATCCACCATGATTGAGTGGTGAATTGTTCATGATAGCCAAGCTCGATACCAATTGTTAAAATCCACATTGGATTCCTTAACAAGAACCCTAGAATTTGAGAAAGAGAAAAGAAAAGAAATAACTAGAAAGAGAATATTCGTATATTGAATTCCAATAAAAAGATCAATCTTCATACATGCCCCCTCCAATAATTTCTTCAGCTATATAAATGAAACAACTAACTAACTAATGATAATATTGGAAATAACAAACTAGCAACTATGCAAGGTAGTTATGAATGTTAGACATACGGGTGGCTTGCTAACAATTTACTTAATAGCTAACCTTACCCCTTTAACATGTGCTTATTATCCCTAATACACTCGCAAGTAACCGCACTGGCCACCTATATTGAAAGTCAATGAACTTAAACTGATGATCCTGACACTATGAGACATGAGATCAGAAACTTTAAACCTTAGCTGTGCAACAATAATAGCTTCCAAATGCGGTCATACTCATACCATTTTGATTTTGCAGTCTCGCGGGCAAATAATTAACTCCATGATCTGCATTGTGCAAACACGAATTATGCGAACACTTACCATTTTTAGTTGTATTTTTCATTTTTTGGGATTAGATATTCTTATTCTTTTAACCTTTGTTGTATGTAGGTAATTTTGGAAGTTACGAGTGACATGGCAGTAGTGGAAGTTGGAGGAGGACCATGGTTTACCACTTGGAAAGGCAAGACAGCAGCTCCAGAGCTCCTCAGACATGCTCTTCGAGTTCCCATTGATCTGGACGGAATTTATGATTTCGTTCCATTATTCAAGCCCGCCGGTTTATAGTCAGTTGGCTCATGCTTTCGTTCCACAAAAGGAATCCCCTGTTCGCTACCTAGAAATAGAAAGAGAGAGATTGCACAGTGTGGGTTGAACGGTTTTCTTGAACCTGAGGACCAGTCTGGCCACATGCTTCTGGATATCATTGTTATCTAAGAAGGAAATATATCGGTGGCTTTTAATACAATCCTGTACCACATCTAAGACAATGATTTCAACTACTCTCTTAACCCTCCAAAACCTTATCTTTGTTTAAGTTGGTGACAAACTGATCAGACATATTTGTTGCAGATAAAATATATTCTTGTCTGAGAGCTGGGCAATTGAAAATTGTTTTGTCACCTTAAGTTGTTTTCAGTTTGTTTCATTATTGATATTTTGGCTTGAGTTGAACTCTCAATTCTCATTACTGACACATGGACTTAGACTTTGGTTGTGGTTTCATCAAGTAATGAATCTAAAGAAGCATATATCTGTCACTCCTAACATTTTATATTCTTAGTAGAAAATACATCCAATTACTCTAAAATACAGTGAGAACAACAAATTATTCACACTTTTCCCACACCGATTTCCTAGGTGTTATTTACAAAAAGTTTCACCAGTAGTCCTTACATGAGCAAGAACCATCTTTGAAGTGGTGGAAACGATTTCTATCTCTAGCAATAATTTCTCTCTTGAAGATCTTTGATATTAATTTGGTGGCAGAATGACAGTTTCCACATACACGAAGATTCTTCATTATTCTTATTGTTGTCCCTGGCTCTGTACTGATCAAACCAAAAGCAATGGCCAACTTTTCACTGTGATGACTCAAGACCCCTTCTTTCCATTCCTCATCCATGTCATAAAGCACCTCTGATGTATCTGGTACAAAACCAGCCTTCTCCAAACGCACATCGATTTCATCCAACATCTGGTAGATTTCACTGCTCTGAGGATGTACCTTGTCACCAACAAGAAACTCGTGGACCACACTGTCTACCTCGATAGAACTACAGCCAGGAACTTTCTTCATTCTGTTATCATTTAGCCTAGTTCTTATTTTTGCTACATCCTCCCATCTACCAGATCCTGCATAGATGTTTGACAAGAGCACATAAGCACTAGGGTTTTCAGGCTCTAGTTCAAAAAGTTGCTTGGCGACAAATTCAGCCAACTCAGCGCGTCTGTGAATTCTACAAGCACCAAGCAAAGAGCACCAAATGGCCCCATCTGGCTTCATTTCCATATTCTTCATCAAGGTTTCTGCTTCATCAAACAACCCAGCTCGACCTAGAAGATCTATCATGCATCCATAGTGTGGCAACTTTGGAGAAACCTTGTAATCTTGGATCATTGAAGTAAAATACCTGCGCCCAAGACTTAGAAAACCAGCATGCTTACAAGCTGACAGCACGCCAACAAAAGTGATGTCATCTGGTACAAACCCCTCATTAGTCATTCTTGAGAAAAGTCCAAGAGCCATATCTGTGTGCCCGTGCATGGCAAAACCAGATATCATAGCATTCCAAGTTGCCAAGCTTTTACTTTTCGTGCCATCAAAGATTCGTTTAGCTACCTCTATATCACCACATTTTGCATACATGTCAATGAGGCTTGTCCAAAGGGCAACAGTATTGGTCATATTCTTCATATTCTTGTCTACATAAGCATGAACCCATTTGCCAAGATCAAGCGCACCCAAGTTAGCACAAGCCGGAAGAATGCTCAAGAAGGTGACATCATTAGGATCTATATTTGATTGCAGCATTCGCCTAAAAAGCCCCAAGGCTTCCTTATAACAGTTCAAATGAGTATAGCCACCAATCATAACATTCCAGGAGACCACATTCTTATGTTGCATTCCCTCAAACAGATTGCTGGCTTCTTCCAAATCTCCACATTTAATATACATATCAATGAGTCCGTTTACAAGTCTAAGATTCGATGCAAGTCCATGATCCTCAATCCAAGACCGAACCCAATTGCCCAGTTGAAGAGAAGATCCTGACCGAGCGCAAGCTGAAAGGATACTAAGCATTGTGCTCACATTAGGTGTAACCTTTGCTCTAAGCATCTCTTCAAAAAATGCTATTGCCTCTTCAACTCGACCGCTCTGAGCATACCCAGAAATCATAGCATTCCACGACACAACATCTCTGACAGGAATTTCATCAAACAGATCTCGAGCTTCATCCAAAAAACCCTTCGAAGCATACCCAGTAATCAAAGCTGTAAAAGAAACAGCATCTCTCATATCACTTTTATCAAACACCAATCTCGAATCAACCAAATCACCATTTTGAGCATACATGTTAATCAACGAAGTATGTACAAAGGGATTACGTTCAAGTCCAAGCTTCAACATATGTGCATGGACCTGTTTCCCTTCAAAGGAACCTCTAATTTTCGCGCATGTCTTCAAAATAGAAGGAAACGTATATTCATTTGGCTGCGTACCGGAACTAATCATATGCATATAGTATTCTAAAGCTAAAATGGGGGATTCACTCAATGAGAGACCCCTGATCATATGATTCCAAATTACATGATTGGGGTTTTGAATGGTTTTGAAGAGCGAGAGAGCGTAAGGGAGGTCGCCGTATGGAGAAACAGCGCAAAACTCGATGAGCTTGCTAAGTGCAAAATGGGTGTTGTGGAGGCCAGCTTTGATGATTTGGGAGTGGATTTGTTTGAGAGTTTGGAGGGTTTTGCAGTTGGAAAGTAGAGTTAGCGAGGGATGATTTTGAACAAGTTTGTATGGGGGAGAAGGATCGGATAAGGAAAGAACATGGAGAGTACTTATGGGTGAAGCCATCACCAACATCTCAATTTGTGTTTGTGACGTAGAGTTGCTCTATTCGAGATTCAAATATGAAATGGTTAAACTTCATTTTTGTCCTTTAGATATTTATTATTGATTCATTTGCACCCTCAAAGTTCAAGCTTTCACGATATTATTTCTATAGTCTCTAAACTGTTTCTATTTTGCCCTTGATAAATAACCAATTTCTTTTTTGTTATAAACTATATGTTATAGTTATGGTTAATTCATTTTCAGATTATTTTGTGTTTATTATTTATTTTCAACATTACAACATTCATCATATTTTGTTATTCTATTATAATAAAAATAATTACAAATAATGTACTAATTCATATGTAATCTATGAATAAAGATGGTTGTGTCTTTTATATTGACTATATATAAATGAAAATATTAATTTTCAACACATGGAATTTTTTTTATCATGATTTAAATAATTTTTTTTATTTAATAGCATAAGTAAAAACAAAAGAAGACTTTTTAATTCAATTTTTTCTTGATAAGTTTTGAAATCCTACTTTTTTGACATTCACAATCACTAAAGCCAGCCATAATGCCAAACACTTTTTTAACTCATATTGGTTATTCAATTTTAATGGAAGGGTGCTTGAATCCAAAATCACCTTCAATTGGCAACAATAAATGGTTCAATTAGGGCCTTAATATTAAAAAAAAAGGTTCAAATTAACCAAATTCCAAATATAGAATACCAAAATTGATTTTTAGCCGTTTCAGCACTTTTTACATAAACGGTTAATAACAGCGCGACTTCCGTACTGTCTCCATCGATTTTCCATTTGGCCGCCACCTTACTCTCTCTCACACACTTGCTTCCTGCTGACCTGTTGTATAAATCTCAGCCTCAGCTCTCTCTCTCTCTCTCTCTCCTCACATGCATTCAATCCTCTCTAAATTCTTTCACTCTCTTCATTTCTAAACTAATCTTAAAAAATCTTGGATTCTGAATAATGGAAGCAAAAGTTCACAATTTCTCTCCTATTTTTTCACCGTTTCGACCCCTAACAAACCCTAATTCCTCTATCAAACTCTATCATCCTCGAAATTCCAGCTTATCCATACCTCAATCGAAATCAGCAAAGCTAAGGTTTCGATTATCGCCACTGTTAGCGTCGTCGAGTTCTGTCACCAACACTGATACTTCGAATGTCCAAAGAGGAGAAAATGAGAGGAGTGTGAGTCCAGTTTATGTGCCTACGCCTCATAATCGCGAGCTCCGTACTCCTCATAGCGGGTAAATTTTTTTAACATTTTTTTTTTAATTTCTGCTTCATTTGATAATTATTGATTCAAACAATTGAGAGATTAGTTTTTTTTTTTTTTTTTTTAAATTAGGTATCATTATGATGGGACAACGCGGAAATTTTTTGAAGGTTGGTATTTCAAAGTCTCGATTCCCGAGCGTAAACAGAGTTTCTGCTTTATGTACTCGGTGGAGAACCCGGCGTTTCCTAAGAAATTGACTGCCTTGGAAACCTTACAGCATGGACCTAGATCGATTGGTGTTGGTGCTCAGATGCTTGGGGCTAATGACAAGTATATTTGCCAATTCTCTGAAGAATCTCAAAATTTCTGGGGATGTAAGTTTCTTTGTTTTGTGATATTATGGGAACTGTTTGAATTTATGATTTTCTGTGTTTATGAGTTAAAGTTGTTACTATTAATTAGTTGATGCTTAGCTAGGCATGAGCTGATATTGGGGAATACTTTTGTTGCTGAGAAAAACATGAGGCCTCCGACCAAAGAGGTTCCTCCTCAGGTTGGACTCTGTCCTGTTCAGCTTAAATGTTTATATTGAGAAACTTTTTGTTCATCTGTTTTGTTTTAGAATGTTACACTTTGTCTGTTTTAGAAGGTTTTAACATGCAGTTTTCTCAGTTTGAATACATAGAGAGTTTTTTTTTTTTATTATTATTAAAAAGCCATGAATTGATAGTATGTAAGTTGTCAGAGTTGCAAGGCTAGGAAATTTGTGCTATAAGCTGCAGGAAAAAAACATTCCTCTTTAATAATTTAACTGAAATGTCTCTTTTGCTTTTGTCACTCTCAATGGTTTCTTGTGTCTGGAAATTTTTTAGGAATTTATGTTAAGTTGCGAGTTGGTTGGATATATCAGCATTAATCTTCCCTTGCAGTTCCCTATTGGTTATTTCTAGTTTATTTTAACATATTCTTGCATAAGACTGTAAAAACATGAAAAATTAGAATGGATTCTCAATTTCCTGTCTATTTGGTTAGACTTAGTGCAAGTGTTTCTTCGTTTGCTAGGTTTATTTTCTTGTTGAAGCTAACCATGTGAAACAAATCCAAGTCACAACTCACACTTGTTTTCATATTTAATTTATGCAGGAATTTGATAAAAGAATTTTAGAAGGATTTCAAGTCAGCCCAATTTGGCACCAAGGCTTTATTCGTGATGATGGCAGGTACCCTCACTCCCATCATTCGTAGCCATCGTCTGCAGATTGAGTTTGAGGATCAAACATAAAAAACGCATTAGGCCTTTTGTTGTAAAATCACACATGCATGTGGCACTGCTTTCAGTGCTTCATTCAGGATAATGGATTAAACTTTCTTATAGTTTGTTACTTCAACTCCTTATCTATGCTTAATGACTTGACAAACTGATATGACTGGGACAGTAGAGGAATATCAAACCCATTCCTGTATGAAAGTGGGATAATTAAATATATTTTCAGTACCTTGGTTGTTTCTAGTTTATGTGAGCATTGGTAGTTAACATGACTTTACTTCTAATTGCAGGTCAGATTATGTGGAAACTGTGAAAACTGCACGTTGGCAGTACAGTACTCGGCCAGTTTATGGATGGGGTAATGTTGGGTCTACACAGAAGTCAACTGCAGGGTGGCTTGCTGCTTTTCCTGTATTTGAACCACATTGGCAAGCATGCATGGCAGGAGGACTTTCAACAGGCATTAACTATTCTTGCTTCTGGTTATAATTGTTTTGAACTTTCAACCTGATGTTGGTTATGATTTTGTTAATTCCTTTTTATGTCAATTTATCTGATAAAATCAATGATCTTAGTAAACTGTTCTTACACAGTATATGTAGTTAGCTCTTGTTTCTTACAGTTCTCTCCCCACTCTAAGTAAATGCTTTGTATGAATTTAGGGAAGCCTCTGTTGTCAATTTCTAGGTGCTTATGCTGCTCTCAAGGTCACAAGTTTGTGGCATCAGGATATCCATAGGCTTTAGAAATAATTATATTCTAGTTTTGTGGCCCTTTTTGTTGACACAGTGGTGAGCAGTACTGTGATGGAGGTTCCATGCTTTCTAGGGAATAATGCCTTGGGCTTTGATTGGATTGCAGGCTGGATAGAGTGGGGTGGTGAAAGATTTGAGTTTAAAGATGCTCCTTCTTATTCAGAAAAGAACTGGGGTGGAGCCTTCCCAAGAAAATGGTTTTGGGTAAATATTTATTTCTTTCGTGTGGCAACTATCTGCTTATTAATTGATCATATGCTTTTCTCATGTGGAGTTTCATGCCTACTTGTTCCATTGCAAGAATGGGAAAGTTAGTTTCACTGTTTCTCTTTGCACAACCAATAATGAGCTATTTACTCTATTTTCAACATGCAAAGATGACCTCAGGTCAATATTCTTCACCCCAAGTTACATTTTGATGTGTGGTGTTGCGAATGTTGTGTTGTCACACATAGTGGTTCAGAGTACAGAAATTGAAGAAAACACATTAACTTTATCTATGGTTATTGAGACTGCTTCCTTATGGACCTGATTAGCTGGCTCATTTTCTACGTGCTGTCAATTAGTGGAAGTTTTTGGTGAAGAAATCTCTACGCTTTTTAAGTTTTTGATGATGTTTGGAATTATTGCTGTTACAATGGTTTACTAAAGCATCTTAGATTTGCAATTGTCTGCACATGCCTAACCTGGAAGAAGAAAATAATAATAAAAAAAAGGTTTAAAGAAAAACTCCATATGCCTGCATGCTAATTGTTGATGTTTTTACACCTTTACTGTAGGTTCAGTGTAATGTCTTTGAAGGTACAAGTGGAGAAGTTGCTTTGACTGCAGCTGGTGGGTTAAGGCAAATACCAGGAGTAAATGTGACTTTTGAAAATGCTGCATTGGTACCTTTCTATTACAATCCCAATACTATTGTTCTCCACTTTCCCTTGTTGCAGCAATTTTTTTTAGATTAATTATTTTTTTCTTCTTTTTAGGAATATATGGCTAAATACATATATATAAAGAATGAGATAGCAAACAACTGATATGCAATGATCATGGCACCCCTGCTAGTGTTTTCATATGGAACTTGCATCATATTCATGAGTTTTTGAATATGCCTTACTATCTTTAGTTTGAGACCTCAAATAGAAGAGACAAAAATTTACACAATTTTACAAGTTGGATGCCCTCATTTTAAATATACTGACACGCACGGTACAATGTCCACCTATGCAGATTGGAGTACACTATGATGGAATTTTCTATGAATTTGTGCCATGGAATGGTGTTGTAAATTGGGAAATTTCTCCATGGGGCTACTGGTATATGGCTGCAGACAATGGGACACATTTGGTATCCTCCTTTCCCTGTTTCTAATATTAACAGTCTCACTGTATAAATCTTAATTTTCACTGATGTCCAAGTAAATTTGGTATTATTCTTCACTTAGACCTGTGAAAAAAAGGAAAACAAAAACACAAAGTACATACTGGCCTGCATGATTCTTCATGATCTCTTAAGTCTTTTATGGATACATATAATGATGTTGGAGTTATATCAATTAAAGGTGTAATTTATTTTTCCCTCTCAGGTTGAATTGGAGGCAACAACAAAGGATTTGGGAACAACATTGCGTGCTCCAACAGCAGAAGCTGGGCTTGCTCCTGCTTGTAAAGATACCTGTTTTGGTGATTTGAAATTGCAAATTTGGGAACGTAGATTCGATGGCACTAAGGGGAAGGTGCATTTTACTTCTTACTCTCCCATATCCATGTATTCATCAACTTATTGTGCAATATATGCTTTAGCCTCGGTAATTATTTATTCTTAGCATCAAGTGGCCTAACTATTGGACAAAACATCAAAAACCTATTTGTTGTGTGAGGGTATTTATCTTGCAATGTGGTCTCACCACCATGATTTTGTCTTGCAAATTATCAAATTTATGATGTTTTGCAAACTCCGTTGGCCTTCACCATTGTTAGAGAATAAAATAATCATATCTTGGGGCTTCACTTAACACCGTAAGCTTTTGGGTTGAAATAGTTTTTTGACATGGTGACAGAGCCTTGTTAACCTAACGGTTAAGAGTTGAATCCTATCACCTCCACTTTTTCTTTTAATTAATTAAGCACAAGATAATGTGATCTTGTACAAGTTTGAAAGCCAAAAGGCTTTCACTTGAGGGGGTGTATTAGAGAATAATATAAATCATATCTTGGGGTCTCATCTAAAAATTTAAGCTTTTGAGTTGAAATGGTTCTTTGACAACCATTAACATAAGTTTGTCCACTTATTAGCGTCACAGACCATATGCCTCATTTTTGTGATGCATAATTATTTTGAAACATATGTACAGTGAATAAAACCTTGTAATGAACAATACTTTGTCTGACACCTTGCTTGCTCACTGTGAACTTGAAGACGTTGGATTGAAAGTAATGTTTATCTACTATCACTAGTTTTATTATGTAGTTTCCTCTCTAGAGTTTACATATCAACACATTTTTCTTTTTGGGGAATTGACCCACCCTTTCCTTCTTTATTCATGAATCTCAATTTTTTTCCCTGTGCTGATTGGCATGCTTTACATAAAAACTAGTTCTTCAATCAGTTGTTGCACATGTTCTCCATAAATGTATTTTCAATGACATGATCTCATGAAACCAGTGAAAGGAGAAGGCTAGTGTACTTCATGACTGATTTTTTTTTTTTTTAAAACAAGTCAGAGTTCTAGTGGAAGAATTGAAGTTTGCTTTTAGCATGTGAGGATTTGCTCCCTGCATGTTCTATTTTTTTTCCTTTTTCTTACACCTTCTGTACTTAAAAATCCATATGACAAAAATCATTCATGGATGGATGCAATTCCAGTGAGATTGTCTTCACATAATTTTTCAAAATCTTTGGCATAAAACTGTTTAATGTACTTTGTCAAAGTTCAAAAGCACTGATCCTTCCATTGATAGGTCTTCTTGTGATTGGCAGATACTTTTAGATTTGCACTATTACAAGTTGGTTTTTAAGACAGTTGGTTTCATTCTTCATACTATGGCTTTGGATATTCTTACACTTTCAGCATTATCATTTGCAGTTAATTTTGGATGTTACAAGTGACATGGCAGCAGTAGAAGTCGGAGGAGGACCATGGTTTAACACTTGGAAAGGCAAGACATCTATGCCAGAGCTTGTTAGCCATGCTGTCGGAGCTCCCATTGATTTGGATGAAATTTTCAGATTTGCTCCACTGTTCAAGCCCCCTGGTTTGTAACCACCAGGCCAGTCCTTTCCTTCCAAAAAGGGTTAAACTTCAAACTTTGTAGCGGTGGAGTAAGCAAAATCGCATAGTGTGGTTTGAATGAGGATCCATTCTGCCCTAAACATACAGAGTCGAGGTTTCCGTAACCCTGTAAGCTGCATAATTAGTTTTTTTTTTTAATTTTTTTTTTTTTTAAGCTTGGGCAACCTTAGTGAAAGGGAACTGAGGGTTGGCCTTAGTCTGACTTAATCCATTCTGAGGCATTTTGCATTAGCGACTTGTTTTTATCAGAAAGCTAGTGCAGGCTTACTTACCAACTTTGCCTTTTATTTAGCATCTTATGCAACTTTGTGATCATTTATTGCCTATTTTCTGGTTAGTTATCTTGAAATTTTCATGTTGAAGTTTACAGAATGTAGCAGTGATTTGCCTTTAAAACTGTAAGCAAAAAGTTAATGTTTTAGGTTGGAGCTAAAACTCTAATATAACACCAGCAAAAAAAAAAAAAAAAAAACCCTTAATTTTCTCTTAAGCGCGCTCATTATCCAGATCTGTTTAAGATCTTAGGAGGTATAAAATGAACGGAAACAATAACCAACAGTTATCCAGAGAGTATTTTAAGAGATTATCTTTGTCTTCTTCTAGTCCTTTTCTTTTTAATGCTTATTTTTATTTTCAAGTTGATTTTATTAACATAGCGAGACAATAAGAAATAATATATTTTTCAAGAAAATATTTTTATGTAAATTATTTTCCAAAAACAAGTTCTATTACAATAAATTCTCTTAGTTGAACTCAGTCCATTTCTCTCGGACTAGCCCTAGTTTATGATATCGGCTATTTATGGATTCCATACACGGCTAAAGGATAAACAAAAAGGAGTAGCAATATATCTCTGGATATAAATATATGTCCAACCAGAAAAATTAAAGGAGAAAAGATAGTCCATCCTATCTCATCATAATCAAATTGTTTTAGCTGCTATTCCAGCAGACGATCCTCCTTTTTATCCTCAGTAGGTCCGTAAGCCCAACAGCATAGAAGAAAACACACAAAATTGATTATACTCAAGACAGTGATGAGCCAGTAATAATCATCTAACCGGCCCTTGTTAAGATTACTTGACAAACCAGCTTTCTTGCCCTCCTTTGGATGTAACTCTATCCACAACGTCCACCAAACCACTCCCTATCAAATCAGCCACGGCGGTTCCGAAAGTGAAAAGAGCCACCGCAATGCTAGACCTGCTCTTAGGAAACTGAGAGTAGTAGAATTCTATCTGTCCGATTGAGTTAAACGCTTCAGCCAATCCAAGCAGGATAATTGGTGGCAAAAGCCAGGCTACTGACATGTTCACCACACCATCTGGTTGGTCTTCTAGTCCTTCCTCAATGGCAGTTCTTCTTCTTATGGTCTCTACTACTGCTGACATTGCCCTCGCTGCAATTGGAAGTAGCAAACCAATTCCCATCCTAACTTTAGAAGTAAGCCCGCCACGTGGCTTGCTGGTGAATCTTGCTAGTAATGGCAGCAGAATTCGGTCGTAGAAGATTAGCCAGATTGTGAGAGTGAGAACCAGAAACACATTGACAGATCCCGCTGGAATTTCAAAAATAAAGATTTGCCTGTCCATGGTGTTTGCTTGGAGGGTGGCAAATGAAGTTTGGTTCAAGTTGATTTGCATCATGATGCCTGTAGACCAAATGGGGATGCCCTCAGAAGAGCTTTCAGCGATTCTACCTGATCAACTGTATATAGACGCCATGGATTTGAAGCTGACCCATACGGGTTTACATCCCTATCAGGGTCCGTTACTATACAAGCTCGGTTTAGACACCTGCACAAAGTGTTGACGAATTTATCATCTAATGTTACTTAAAGAGAAATGATATGGATTAGGATAGACAAGAATCCGACCAAAACTTAGAATCATCAACATTGGTAATACTGGCACAGTACCTTAAATTATCAGTGGGGACCTGGAACTCAGATTCATCACTGTGGTAATACTGTTCAATGCTACTGTGAGACAGCCTGAGCTTCCTGTTCCTGAATGCTGCAACCAAGACTTGAACAAACCCAGTAGATAAGCTCGTGGAGGCTTTTGTTTTGACGTACAGGGAAGAACCCACCAAAAACATTAGAGCAGAGAAGAACATGAGAATTGCAGGAACCGCAAGCCCGACTTTCCAACCAAGGTGATCTTGAATGTAGACAATAGCTGTAAACGCTATAATCGTTGATAATCCTACTGCAGCATAATACCAATTAAAGAAACTCTGCAAGACACTCTCATTGTTGGGGTTCTCTTTGTTGTCTAATTGGTCTGCACAGAAGGCGATAGAGCAAGGCCTAATGCAACCGGCTCCGAGGGATACGAGGCCGAAAGAGGAGAATAAAACAGCTAGTTGGCCTGTAGTAGCTGATCTGCAGACGTCGGTGAATCGGTCGCAAGTGGAGGGCTTAGTTGTGGGATCATGGCAGTTAACCAAAGAAGAATCATCCCCTGCATGAACAGAGCAGGTTAAGAGATCAAGAATTGAAACCCCTATTTTCCCCAGAAACTTGGAAACAAGGCAAACATAGAATCAGTGAATATGATAGCAGGAAATGACTCACAAGAAGGCTGCAGAGTGATCCCAAAGAGATGACCAGATACCGACCCATGAATGAATCGGAGATGAAGGCTCCGAAAATGGACAATCCATTAGACATAGCAGACCACAAGAAGAGAATGGTTGACCCACTTGCAGCCTCCAATCGATAATTTTTCATCAAGTAGAAGATCATATTTGGCATCAGCCCATAGCTAGCCACCCTCTCAAATGCCTCATTAACTATGAATACAGAGAACAAGAAAACAAAGAACCCAACATGATTCAACAGAAAAGAAAGAACAGAACAAGAAATAAATTTAACTGTAGACTCTGGAAATTACCTATGATGAAAGGCGTGGCCCTTGAGCCACACTTTCTGGGGTCCTTGTCCTTGGCGATGAGAACCACCTTCTCCTCCGCTATTGAATTTTCCATTCTTTCTTCTTCTCTAACAGTGTTATAATACTATATAGTACCTTAGAAAATGGAACGAATTACACACAATTCACTCTATCTATAAATACAATGTTTGGAATAAGTTCCACGATAGAACTGGATTCCAAAGCGAAACTTGGTCCTAACGAAGTGATCAATTCTCCACAAATCATATCATTTGCGCCTAAAAATTTGTAATAACCAAAAAAAAAAAAAAAAAAAACACTTCCATTTTTTTAATTATATTATTATTATTTTAAAAAACAAACAAATAAAAAAAATACAAAACCAAAAAATAAATTAAAAAAAAAGAAACAGATTGAAGTCTATCCTAATTTTTAAATTCGAGTTTAGCTTGGTTGGATCACCTTTCAATAACGAGTTTGAGTTTAAATTGAATAGCTAAAAAATCTGAATTTTAAGGTATTTGATTTAGGACGAAACTGGAATTTGAAAGTGTTTGATTGAAGGTGAAACTCAAATTCTCAATGTCTATAAAAGGGCGATATCCCGAAAAAAAAGAAGGGGGTTAGGAAAATTTTCGGGTTTTAGGGCGGTAGTATTCTTCAACTTTTTTTTTTTTTTTTCAGGGCGGTGTTCTTTAGGCCTTTAAATTCTAGGCAAGTTTGTTCTTCGCTTAGAGTGAAAATGCGGGTAGAAAAGGAAGAAGAAATTCCGGGTTTAAGTGAGAGTAAAAATCGAGGAAAAAAGAATATTGTTTTGAAATTCCAGTTGTTGCTTTTACGGGAATTTCTAGGGAGTGTTCTTCATGTTCTTCGCGACCTTTAAGTTTTTGGGTACCAGTTCATCAATCATTGGTCTAGTTACTCAATCGTTTTTGGATTTTCTAGGTTCGATTACAATCATTCACCCTCCTCATTTTCTAGTCTTACGCATGCTACAAGACATTCATAAACACCATACATAACAACAACAACTCAATCATCGAATCAAAGTCTTCCAATTCCCTGCAAAATCGAGTAACAACAATAAGGTCCAAAAAGAATTATATTCCATTCCTTTGACTCTAATCTGCTCCCTTCTCCAAAATGAACGAGCAACAACAACACAAGGTCTTGAAAATAACTCTTCACTCCATTGATTTCGATTAAGGTAATCCTAACGTGACTCCCGTCCTAATTTTCCTATTAATTCTTAGGTTCAATTTTTTTTTTTTTTTGAATCGGAGCAAGATGAATGAAAGAGAGAGAGAGAGAGAGAGGGATGAACTGAAGTAGCCCTAATTAAAAAACAAAAAAGAAGGAAAAAGAAAAATGGGGGGATTCCGGCTCACCGGTGGAATCTAGGTAGAGAGGGAGAAAAAGAGAGAGAGAGAGGAATCGCATCATGAGAACGGAGAGAGAGAGAGAGGATCGAACTTGGTAATGATCTAAAGAGGAGAGAGAAACATTTTCAGCTCTTAAGCCCGCCTCTCATAGAAAAGAACGGGTTGGGCTCATTACTAAATGAAAGGTTGGGCCGGTTTCATGTCCAGCCCGGATCGGTAAAAAAAATAATAATAAAGGGCATGAATAATGGTTGGAGTTTGCCCAGTTTCTACCCGTCCGAGAAAACAAAAATACAAAAAAAAATGCTACAATGATAGGAATGAAGGCGTGAGAACTGCAATTAGTCAAGGAAGAAAATAAAAAAACAAAAGAAAGAAAAACAAAAGGAAATCCCGTGAGAGAAATGAGAAAAAAAAATTCGATTCAACTTTTGAAAAAAGGAATAAGGGGAACGTGTGGCTTAGAGGCAGCTGAAGGAGATGGTGTGGGCTTAGCCCGAACCATGTAAGGATAGCTACTTGAGTCGAAGCTATTTAAGTCCAATGGATAAAAAAAAAGGGAGCAAACCATGTGAGGATGGGCTAGACCGAAAAGGTTCTAGTCCAACGGGTAAACAAAAAAAACAAAAAATAAAAAGGAACAAACCAAATGTGAGGTGGGGATCTGGACTCGGTTCGTCCGGCCATTATATACATGTGTATATATGTAAAAAAAAAATATTGGATTTATTTATTTATTTTTACATTTCTTATTCAATTTCGGTATTTTATTACTTGAATTAAAGAAATTCCTCTTTTAATTTATTACATGTACTTTATAATCGTTTTTTATTTATTTGTTTATTCATGTAATTTCTCAACGAAAGCTCCTTTTGATAGGGGTTGTCGTTTCGTGACGAGGTCTCATATTTGATAGGGATTGTTGGTATAACAAATGGTCATTTAATAATCGGGATGTCCTCCGATGTGTCGGTTGCGTCGAGATTTGAAGTGGCTCGATGTTTGAATTGACGTGTCACCCGACAAAGGGGATCGACGATCGTTTCAATACGATGCCACGCTCAAAACTAAAAAAATCAAATTTTGCTAAAACAATGGTTTAAAAATTAGAAAACAAATTGGAATAAATGAATAATGTAGAAGATAATTTAGGACTAAAACAAGATGTGGTACCTTTCTTCGGAAAGGTCCCTTTTATGGTGAATAATTGTCTTCCTAAAAGTGTAACCAACTCGCTTACCATAGAATCTCTAGGCCAATGTTATTTTAGGTTCCTAATTCCTTAATACTAGGTGCAACTCCAAAGATCCGTAAATAAACTTGTAAATATTAATCACATTTAGCTTTTTAATTTTAGGAGTCTCGTCCGACGTCGAGTAATGACAGAATAGCGACTCCACTCGGGGACTTTGAGTTAGGCCATAGGTTTAATCCATTTAAGTTTATTTCCTGTGTTTATTTTTTGCTAATTATTTTTCAAGTAATTTATTTTATTATTATTATTTTTGTCATTTAATTTTGAGTTATTTTTTTCTTGTATATATTTTAAATCTTTTAATTTTATGCAATTTCTTTTTCTTGCATTCATGTACATATTTAATCTTGAACCGAGTTAGATGCTTATCTTGATCTGTTGCACACACCATGAAAAAAAACACCGTAAAAGCTCCGGACATGAGCTGAAACCTCGCTAGCATTTAGATAGAGAGATTCGAAGGCAAGTATGACGAAAGTCTACCGATACTCTTTCGGATTCTCGTTTGGACTAGAACTCATCCTATGCATAAAAAATGATGGAATAATCTTCCCCTACCTCCTTGTGCATAAGGTAAAAGAGACTGAATTACCCTACTAGTAATTTAGACGGTTCGAAACTTGAAAAGACTTTAGGATTAGAAAAGCTAGATCTTATCCATTAGGGTTGACTCGATTAAGACACGAATCATTTCCAAATGATATTTGTTCTAACCCTTTAGGATGTTAAATAAAGAAAGGTATCTAACCCGGTTCAAATCATGTATGTATATACTCGTATATTCATTGTACATATGTTCTTTGAGTTTTTCAGAATTTTGAAACATAGGTCACCCCACTAAAGCTCAATTCCCCTCGCGCATTCACAACACTAGATTAAGGACTCGCCAAATGGAGAACGAGGAGAGAACATGACAGGAAGAAATTTGTCAGCAAGATTTTGAGTCATTGAGAGAAGAGATGGCCCAAATGAAGGCTTTACTTGTAGGAAATAAGGGGATGTAGCTTAAATGTGGGACGAGAACAACTTGAAATACCACATGATATTCCATTTCCCAATCAATCCGGGCCAATACAAGAGTCAAGGGAGTAATAGAGGAAAACATAGAAATCATAAAAACGACCCCAAAGACCTTCATTCACCTTTTATGCCCCTAGCTTAACAAACACCATGAACCAAACATATCTACCAAATCAACCAAATCCATCCTACAAACCTCACCAAACCTACCAAACAAATTAATTCCCTCAAGCTACTCCATATTTTCAAAATCTATCAATTCGTAATCAAGACTATAAGAAAGAGCTCGAACAACTACCACCCTTACCTTATTTATTGAGTGAAATGTTTGAACACCCGGTAAGCATTGGATAGATCACTTCGGTCCCTACTAACCTAATGTGCCCTCCTTACCCTCCATGGTATAAAGAAGATGAAAGATGTGAATATCATTCTTGTGTAGCTAGGCATAATATCAATGATTGTCTTGCTTTCAAGAGGAAGTTATTGGAATTTATCAAGCAAGGTTGAATCGGTTTCGACAATGATCTACATTCTTCTAATGTGAACATGAACCTCCTCCCGAACCACAGGGTTGCTGATACAAGAGATGAGGAGACCGAGTGAGTCCGAAGTTATCGAGAAGATGCATATTTATAATTTGTAAGTTTGTTTTTGAATACTATTTTCATGAATATTTTGGCTATGCATGAATTAAGTCGTATCTTTGAATGAAATTTTACTTTTTGTTATAATTCATATTATTTGAAATCAAGAGATGTTTATTTGAAAGTATTATTTGGCATTGTATTTTCCTCCATTAAGGAAATATAATGGCGAATTCATTCAAAAATTTTCATAAAAAAATGATCAAATTTCAAAGGATGGAAGATGTATGCTAGAGGAAATTCTTCAAATCATGAAAGCTATGATACACTTTGCTAAAAACCTTTTCGAGCGAGAAAGTAATAGGACAATCCTCCATTTTGTTGAAAAGAAACCAAAAGAAAAAGGAGAAATTTGTTTTTATATCTTTGAACTAAACCCTTGAAGAAAAGTTTTGCCTAAAAAAAAACATCATAAAGCCCAAATGAAAGACTAAATGATTGGTGTTTTAAGTAATGATGAACAATATCCTCAAGTCATGATCTCGGGTAAATCATCATCTTTGAAAGGAGATTAGTGTCTAATGACATAGGTGAATCGAGTTTTTGAGATGAAGAAAGGTCATCTTTCATAAATCTTACAAAATCTTTATCTCTTGTCGTCCCACTTTGAGCTTGATGATTTTCTTTTCCCACGATAACCTAGACTAGGATCACCCCTCACATTGGAGGCGGAATGTACAATCCATGAATGGTCGATGAAACTCTCAAAATTTTTGTCAAAAAAAAATCCCATCAATGATCCTAGAAATAAAAAAAGGTAAAGAAAAAAAGAAAAAAAAAGATTCCTATA